AACTAGCTTTGTTTCAATCACAATCCCTTATCAATAGATAGATAGAACAGTGGTTCACTTTATCTAACTAGCTTTGTTTCAATCACAATCTCTTATCAATAGATAGATAGAACAGTGGTTCACTTTATCTAACTAGCTTTGTTTCAATCTCAATCTCTTATCAATAGAGAGATAGAACAGTGGTTCACTTTATCTAACTAGCTTTGTTTCAATCACAATCTCTTATCAATAGATAGATAGAACAGTGGTTCACTTTATCTAACTAGCTTTGTTTCAATCACAATCTCTTATCAATAGATAGATAGAACAGAGGTTCACTTTATCTAACTAGCTTTGTTTCAATCACAATCTCTTATCAATACATAGATAGAACAGTGGTTCACTTTATCTATCTAGCTTTGTTTCAATCACAATCTCTTATCAATAGATAGATAGAACAGTGGTTCACTTTATCTAACTAGCTTTGTTTCAATCACAATCTCTTATCAATAGATAGATAGAACAGTGGTTCACTTTATCTAACTAGCTTTGTTTCAATCACAATCTCTTATCAATAGATAGATAGAACAGTGGTTCACTTTATCTAACTAGCTTTGTTTCAATCACAATCTCTTATCAATAGATAGATAGAACAGAGGTTCACTTTATCTAACTAGCTTTGTTTCAATCACAATCTCTTATCAATAGATAGATAGAACAGTGGTTCACTTTATCTAACTAGCTTTGTTTCAATCTCAATCTCTTATCAATAGATAGATAGAACAGTGGTTCACTTTATCTAACTAGCTTTGTTTCAATCACAATCTCTTATCAATAGATAGATAGAACAGAGGTTCACTTTATCTAACTAGCTTTGTTTCAATCACAATCTCTTATCAATAGATAGATAGAACAGTGGTTCACTTTATCTAACTAGCTTTGTTTCAATCACAATCTCTTATCAATAGATAGATAGAACAGTGGTTCACTTTATCTAACTAGCTTTGTTTCAATCACAATCTCTTATCAATAGATAGATAGAACAGTGGTTCACTTTATCTAACTAGCTTTGTTTCAATCTCAATCCCTTATCAATAGATAGATAGAACAGTAGTTCACTTTATCTAACTAGCTTTGTTTCAATCTCAATCCCTTATCAATAGATAGATAGAACAGTGGTTCACTTTATCTAACTAGTTTTGTTTCAATCACAATCCCGTATCAATAGATAGATAGAACAGTGGTTCACTTTATCTAACTAGCTTTGTTTCAATCACAATCTCTTATCAATAGAGAGATAGAACAGTAGTTCACTTTATCTAACTAGCTTTGTTTCAATCTCAATCCCTTATCAATAGATAGATAGAACAGTAGTTCACTTTATCTAACTAGCTTTGTTTAAATCTCAATCTCTTATTTGTGTAAGACAGTAAAGTTTAACCCATGACCTTTTTTAAACAAGAGTGTTTACCCGTAATACTAAAACTGTGAGGGGTGGAGTAAATTATTTATCCAGTGTAAATTGTGAAATTTAAAACTGAAGAAGGAATTTTATATTACACATTTTATTAGGGACACGGGTATAATCCTACCAAATTGTCTAACATCAGATGAATTGGGTAATTTATATAATGAATGACTGTAAAATATTGATAAGAATATTTGGGTCAAGTTGGTTGACGTCTGATGAATGTTGGTCAGTTGTGAGAAATGATAAAATAATGACAGTAGTTGAATTTGTTTATCATGGTGAATGAGTTTGGATTATCCTGACTGAATGAATGAATTATAATACTGATGGAAGTGACAACACCAGCCTCTAGAGACTGGGGGTACAAATATCGGGCAGTAGAGATGTCTAAGTCACAAGTCTCTCATGCTGTGTTTGTGAGGGTTTTCCTGAGACAATTTTTGAAAAATAGACTTGATTTGGTGCAGTCTGATACATATTATGGGACAAAAACATATACAAATATCATATTTTTTAATTTTCAATAAAGTGGGGTGCAAACAATTTTTCTAGAGGGTTGGTACTGATGTTGGTACTGATGCTGATGATGGTGCCACTGATTGATTGACAATCTCAAAGTTTTACCTTCCATGGACTACTGGACACTTTTCAAAATGTACTATTTTTTCATCAGGATTGTCCAGTACATGTTTTATTTTACACACGCTGTGTAGAACGACTTGTCAATCAATAAAATTATACGATAAAAACTCTTAAACATGACTCGGCAAAATTAGGAATTGGCAAAAAGTTTTGGTGAAAAAAATATAAAATTTATAATCATGTGAAAAGGAAATGGCAATTATAAAAATGAAGAGAAAACGTCAAATTTCAATACGTTTAGATAATGACTTGTCAATCTTAGAATAAAAAAGTAAAAATTTGAGCTCAATGACAATTTTAACAGAATTTTATTTATTTTTTTACAAATCACAGGAATAAAAAAGTAGGTCGTTGTTCCTGGCTGTAGGTGGTTGTTCCTGACTGTAAGTCGTTCCTAGGTGTAGGTGGTTGTTCCTGGCTCTAGGTGGTTGTTCCTGGATGTAGGTGGTTGTTCCTGGCTCTAGGTTGTTGTTCCTGGATCTAGGTGGTTGTTTCTGGCTCTAGGTTGTTGTTCCTGGATCTAGGTGGTTGTTTCTGGCTCTAGGTTGTTGTTCCTGGATCTAGGTGGTTGTTTCTGGCTCTAGGTTGTTGTTCCTGGATCTAGGTTGTTGTTCCTGGCTCCAGGTTGTTGTTCATGGATCCAGGTCGTTGTTCCTGGCTCTAGGTCGTTGTTCCTGGCTCCAGGTTGTTGTTCATGGATCTAGGTCGTTGTTCCTGGCTCTAGGTTGTTGTTCCTGGCTCTAGGTTGTTGTTCCTGGATCTAGGTCGTTGTTCCTGGCTCCAGGTTGTTGTTCATGGATCCAGGTTGTTGTTCCTGGCTCTAGGTCGTTGTTCCTGGCTCTAGGTCGTTGTTCCTGACTCTAGGTCGAGTTACATGTAGAAAAGTAGGATGTAAAACTCATTTCATTATGTTGGTCTAGTTGTTTCATTTGTTTCCACAATTCATAAAAATGATTGGTCAAATAAAAGTGAAGGACATGAAATTTTAGTTTGTTTTATATCCAGGGTTCATTTTGAAATCATTGTCTTTACAAATATCTCAACAAATACAATAAAAAAGATTTAAAAACAGAAAATTTAAAAGAATTTTGTTTCATGTTTTTTTTTTCAACTCAAGTTGTTCGTCTGTTGGTGAATTATTTTGCAGAAATCTTAAAAATCTGTAAAAGTAGAAAATTTGAAATCTAAAATTGTTTTGTTTATTTTACTCTGGTGAATTTCTGTGTGTTGTCGTAGAATTAATAAAATAGGTTACAGGTCAAATCAGTAAAAAGAATATTAAATACATACCTGTTAGCGATATAGATTTCAGATTATGTTGGTTTCAAATGTTGGTTTTAAAAATTTCAAGATTTAAAATATAAAATAAAATGAAATGATTTCTCTATCATATTTTACTTGTTTGGTGTTTCTTTGAAAGTAATAAATGATTTGATTTTTTTTGTTCAATATTTGAGATATTTGTGTTATTTTTGTATTGTTGAAAGAAATTGATGTTATTTTTGTTGTTAATCTAAATCAGTTAGTTCTAAAAGTTCAAATGTAGGCTTACAAAACATGAAACCAAAGTTTATTGTCCAATGGTTATCGAGTTCAATAACTCCTTGCTTTCTGTTTGTAGATTTTGGAAGCGCAATCTAACTACCTGAAGACGACCTCAATTCATTTAATACTATTATATTATAGCACCACAACAATTACTCTGTGAGCAGACTGCCACACAGCAAAATTACAAAATCTGGTCAAGAACCTTTTGATAAAAGAAAGAAATTGTTTGCCAACATCAACAACATGCAATGATACACTTCAATACACAAGCTAAAAACAGCAAAAAAACAGCCTTTGAAAATATTTCTAAAAAAAACCACAAATATCTAACCGTTCTGCTTCGTTTCTTTACAAGAAAACAGCCGCCGGTAGTTCCTGAAAATAAAATTAAACAAATCAGAAATTTTGAAAATTGAGTTAACCTTTGCCCTCTATTTTGTCGCCCGAATAATTTCTCCTTCTGTAAAAAATAATGAAAATTTACGCCAGGATGTTTTAAGAAGTGAGATGAAAGCCGTGTCTGATAAACATGTCTCTGAGTTGACGAACCAATCATTAACTTTCTGACAGAACTTGGCATTTTCATTAAAAAAATATTAGTAATTTTATTAAAGGAAGTCGAAAATTGAAAAGATGTAAAACAAAGTCATCTTCTTGCCAATATTTCCCTCATTGTACACTGTTAAAAATATCTCTGGGTTAATGAAACAACTATCATGTTTCTGATAACAGTTGACAATTTTATTAAAAGAAATCATATTTTTGCCCTTCCCCCCTCAGTCTAGATTCACACCTCATATTTTTTCCCCCTCCACCCTCAGGCTTGATTCACACCTCATATTTTTGCCCCTCCCCCCTCTGGCTAGATTCTCTAGTGAATATATCATGTGATTCTCTCATTAGTAAAACATGATATTCTATATGGCGAAGTTTAGAAGTTTAAAGATCTCTTGATATTATTCTCTAGTTATTTTAGTGTTCACCATGGTGTCTGTAATTTGTAATATTTCTGTGTTTTAATCCTGGTTATTAACATCATGCTATCTTCTCTTTCTACATAAATACATTAGTTTATATAATAACTCGTATAGTATATTATAGAGACAGTAAGACTGTTATATAATCAAATTCAATAACTGCTTTCGTCAACAAGTTTAACAATCCCTATTCTAATGTGACGGCCATGGACCTCCACAGGGGTCACTTGACAAGTAAAATAGATTAATTTAAAAAGCCAAAACATGCAAAACAATGTCTTGCTAATATGTTGTTTAGATTTCAGGTTTCATTTTGTTTAGATCGTTAGTTTTTGATTGTTTTATTGATAGAAAATATTGTTTATTTTACAGAATGGAACGAGACAGCACCATTTCCAGTGATGGTTTTCGTCCACGGAGAATCGTACGATACAGGGACAGGGAATGCTTATGACGGAAGTGTTCTGGCTAGTTACGGGAAGGTCATTGTCGTGACCTTGAACTACAGGGTAGGAGTTCTGGGTAAGCATGTTTTTTTATAATTCACCTTTAATTCTTTCTGTATAATAGAAATATTGTGATATTATTAGCTATGGAGGTCTCTAAAACTGATTGTAAATTGATAACACAACGAACTCTCTTCTTTAATCCCAGCTACCAAAACAGAATATTATCGACGTGGACTCTCTGACAAACCAAGGTATCTAATTTACATGAATGCCTGTGTGAACTCTCTGTGACATGATTTGTCAACTTGACATCCCTGTGGAATAAAAACCTTTTTGAACTTTATACAAAGCAGTCGCCTAAAGACAGAAACCAAATGGAAAATCAAACATTAGCTGCCAATTGGTGAAAATTATTCATAGAATTTTTTGCAAATTTTCAGATTCAATGCATGTAATTTGTGAATTGTTAAAAAAAATTGAAAGATTTCCTGCTTGATTTCAAATCAAATTATCAACTTAACTCATACCATCTCTATCGCCATAACAACAGGCACCATATTGAATTTTTATTTTTTCTATTAATCGAAAACACAAAACTTTTTTAATTCTACCAGTGACTTGTTTTCGGAATTCAGTTTAAAAGCTTTTGGAAATTCTTTCATCCGGAAGTCTCTTTGATCATTCTGACGCTCTCCAAATCAAAATGGTGGTTAATGGAAAAGAATGCGTCTGCTAGGAAAATGCCCGCCATAGAAAATACTTCTGTCAATGTTTCCAAACACTGGAGGCAAAATTCGCAGCATTTTAAAATATTATTTCTTCAATAGTTGCGTGCTGGATAATCAATTATCTGATGGGAATGAAATTATCTCCCTTGGTTAGTCTGAATAAAATGAATCAGACTGCTAGAGGAAAAAACAATCTTCACCCTGCTCAAGTTGATTTCAAAATGGCGTTGAATGGAGTTCATTTAAAAATAATTTCCAATTTAAAGAAATAAAAGATGAAGTTGATTTGAAGCCTGAAGCCAACTTGTTTTAAGTGGCTCTTATTGAATTCTTCAGACGCTCCTTAAAGGTCACTCTTAACAGTTGAGGTCAAATTTTCATATTGGTTTCTTAACTGTCATGGAGGGAAACTGTGATAGGGTGGTGAAATAGCAGTCCAACTTTCATAAGCATTGGCCATGGCATCAGAATTTTCTAACCTTAGTAAAGATTGAAACCTACTGTACTACCTGGATCAAAATATAACCAAACTGTCTTCTACATGGAATTAAAACCCAATCATAAAGATGGGACAAGTGAGATACAAATGGTGAACATTAACGATCTCTGATCCCCATTTCTCCAAAAATCTTCAGATCAGTTTCTATCGTAACTATGGTATTTCTCAATATAAAATTACATACTGACGACTAATTCTTATTGTTAGATTTTTTGAGAAATATGGTCCTGGACTGTTAAAAATTAAAAAAAGTAGGTTTATGTCTCTGTTGTTACATAATTTTCCGCCATTGCCAATTCTTAAGAGTTATTCGGTTGAAGAGTATTTTAAATTATTTTGTTTTCTGGGTGATTGATAGTAGGATGTAAAACTTCATTATATTTACTATCTTACAGGTTTTCTATCCACTGGTGACGGGGCAGCGATGGGTAACTATGCACAACTAGACATCATCCAAGCTCTTCATTGGTTGAAGGAGAATATAGTCAGTTTTAATGGTGATCCCAGTCGCGTGACCTTATTTGGTCATGGTCATGGAGCGGCCATTGTTAATCTGATTTTATTGTCACCTTTTGTACAGGGTGAGTGATGGACACCTTTTGATATTTTTAGATTTTTTGTTTTTGGCAGAAATTGATAATGAATAGACCTAGCTTTATTTCCCTAAATGCACACTGCATAGTGTTGGTCATTAGCTAAAATGAATGTGCTTCGACAGCTTTCCTGGCAAAATTTTGTTCAATTCTTTGCTTTCGGTAGCCACAACAGATGGAAATTGATAAAGAATAGGCCTTGCCTTATGCAGCTGTGTGGATAAATTTCCCTCATTGCACACTATATGATATTGCCATCCTGAATCATTCAAGATCATAGCTTCAAATGCTGTAAAATATATAACACCTCCGACCTCCAACCTAATTATTCATCATGCCCCTAAACATTTTCTGAAACTCCTCATTCAAACCCTTCATTACTGTTTTTCCTGACTGTAACATATCCTCACCCTTCCTTAACCTTTCTTAGAAAACTATTCCTCCCCAACCCTCTCCCTCTATCCCCCACCCCCCTTACTAACACCTACTAACACCTCAAGTCCCTAAAATGAACTCCTCTAAACGGGATAACTGGTATGATTATTTTTCTAGAAGGGCATGGACCCTTGTTCCAGCGAGCGATCATTCAGAGTGGGTCAGCTCTCAGTACCTGGGCGGTGTCATATGATCCTGTTTGGTGTACCCACAAACTTGCCATCAACGTCAACTGTTCCCGACACATCTCAAACTCTGGTGCATTGTTAAAGTGTTTACGTGAACGTTCATGGAAAGAATTAGTGAACGCTGTGCCGTTACCTCCGAAATATTATTCCTGTTTCGCTCCCTCGATTGACGGGTGGACTGTTTTACCGAAAAAGGTTGAAGAGCTGATGAAAAAGAAACAATCAAAGTTCGCTGAAGCCAAAGTTATGTTTGGGATCACTAAAAACGAGGCGTATTCATACTTAAAACAACACGAAATAAAAAAAGGTATCTCAGAATTTCGGAAATCTCAAATGATTCGAACGTACGTTCAGAATGTGTTTAAATATCACCGACAAAAAATATACGAGATCTTGGATCATCATTATACAGATTGGAACCGAATGTCAGATAAACTGAGTAAAAGAAACAATATTCTAGAGTTGCTAAGCGATGGACAATATGTGGCACCGTTAATTAAGGCAGCACAATATCATGCGGAAACAGCAGACACGTATCTCTATGCATTTAGTTATTCAACTCAAACAGAGGGAAGTTTAAATGAAGATGTTCATGGTATCCATGGTGATGAACTACCGTATGTGTTTGGTGCACCTCTAGTCGGTGGTATCTCACCGTTTCCTGAAACCTACACGAACGCTGAACGAATGATCAGCGAAGCCGTCATGACGTACTGGACTAATTTTGCTAAAACTGGGTAAGTTTAATATCTATCCAAGGATAGCTTTAATACTAATGCCTGTGTAATATCTATCCGAGGATAGTTTTAATACTAATGCCTGTGTAATATCTATCCAAGGATAGCTTTAATACTAATGCCCGTGTAATATCTATCCAAGGATAGTTTTAATACTAATGCCTGTGTAATATCTATCCAAGGATAGTTTTAATACTATTGCCTGTGTAATATCTATCCAAGGATAGCTTTAATACTAATGCCTGTGTAATATCTATCCAAGGATAGTTTTAATACTAATGCCTGTGTAATATCTATCCAAGGATAGTTTTAATACTAATGCCTGGGTAATATCTATCCAAGGATAGCTTTAATACTAATGCCTGTGTAATATCTATCCAAGGATAGTTTTAATACTAATGCCTGTGTAATATCTATCCAAGGATAGTTTTAATACTAATGCCTGTGTAATATCTATCCAAGGATAGTTTTAATACTAATGCCTGTGTAATATCTATCCAAGGATAGTTTTAATACTAATGCCTGTGTAATATCTATCCAAGGATAGTTTTAATACTAATGCCTGGGTAATATCTATCTGAGGGTAGCTAAGTTATTTGGTATAATATATTTATCTGAATTTCTCTACTCAGTGAGTTAACCAACTGAACCATGTCACACTGCCTGGTTTTTATTGTTGTTTTCTTCACTTTTTATACTGGTATATATCTAATATGTCTGTCCTACAGTCAAAACTTTATAATCACTAACTTTTTACTAAAAATAGCTTCAAAAATTTGATTATCAGAGTCTCAACTAGCCAAATCAGGAGGAGAAAAATAGGATGTAAAACTCATTTTTAGCTCAATTCATGTGAAACATTTAATAAAGAAATGCTGTGTAGATGTCTAAGAGTATATTTTCAATGACAAGTTTGGACCAATCACAAGAGAGACAGGGTGGAAGTGTCATTCAAGGACAATATGATTAGAAATTTCTGGTGAAACAGTGAGTCCTATAAGCTCAATGATAGGAAGAGATTTTCTCTGCTCTCTCCTCATTTTTAGTAAGAGATATATTACAGTACAGAAATAACACTAAGTTCAGATTGTAATGACCTTTCAAGTAGAGGTCAATCAGAATTGATTCCATTGCACAATTTAAGATAAATATCGGAACAGAGTTCTTCCCCTTGGCAAGACAATATTTTATCTTTTTATGTGTTGTATCGAGACGTTTATCTCGGGGGTTAGAAAGATATCAGAAAGATATGAGAAAGAAGTTTTTACAGTTTGTATTTTATTGTATATTAGTTCTCTAGGGTTTTATGTTATTTTCTATTATTCTGTACCAGTTCAATTCAATTTTCTCACTTTTATTGACTTTCTGAAACAGGAGTGGATGAATGAATGAATGAATGAATGAATGAATGAATGGATGGATGGATGGATGGATGGATGAATGAATGAATGATTAACTAGTTGAATGAATGATTAACTGGATGAATGAATGAGTAACTAGTTGAATGAATGATTAACTAGTTGAATGAATGAGTAACTAGTTGAATGAATGATTAACTAGTTGAATGAATGATTAACTAGTTGAATGAATGAGTAACTAGTTGAATGAATGATTAACTAGTTGAATGAATGATTAACTAGTTGAATGAATGATTAACTAGTTGAATGAATGATTAACTAGTTGAATGAATGATTAACTAGTTGAATGAATGATTAACTAGTTGAATGAATGATTAAGTTTAAGGTGAACATGCCCTGTCCTATTTGAAGGTTTAGTTATTTTAACTTAATTAGATTAAGATTAAATTTTTCTTCTCTTTTTCATTGCAGGGACCCCAACTCACCGAGAAACCAAACCTCACTTCACGGAGGTCGAGTTAAAAATAGATTCGTCAATATTAACTGGCCGAAGTTTAACCTACATGATCAGCAGTATCTGTTAATAGGTGGGTCTACAACACTGGTCCAGTCAACCACCATGCCAGGTACCGTCCCCTCCCCTCAAAATATACGCCCCACCCTTATTGGCCCCACCCCCCCACGCATGGCAGAGTGCAATAAGCATGGTGTGTTATGGATTGGTTTTGTTTATATTTAGGTATGTAGTTATACTGGTGTTTCTATTGATTATTAGGGGTGGGGATTGATTGGGGGTCTCAGAATTGAAATCAGGGCAGAGTCGTGCCGGTGTCAATTCTGAGGTTGCCACGGTTCCCCAATAGAAACACCATTACATAGCAACTATATTTAGCATACATATATATATATTACAGATTTTAATAGTTTAGTTCGGTTTTTATTCAGGTACAGTGGAGTCAGGGAGACTAGGGTTGGTTTAACCTGTTTATTTTTTATATTAAATACAGGTCCAAACCAGCCTTCAATTGTTTGATTGGTTCCGCTGTACCTGACACTTTTAGAATGTTATAAAAAAAAATTAAAATAACACAAATTAATTTCAGATTTATTTTTGAAAGATTTTTTTGGCTGATTTTGGCTTCAATAAACCCACAAAGCTTCTAATATATTTACTGAAAATGATTTTCAAGTCTTTGTTTTAGTCTAGATTTCCGCATGGAATTTTTGAGTTTTTGCATGAATAGAATAATAGAAGATAGTGAATATACTTTAGATTTATTGATTCTCATTTTTCCCATGAGGAAATCTGACAGCAATATGGATATTTTTCTAAGATCATTCCTAGAAATTGATTTGGAGATTTTTTGCAAGAAAAAACATGGAGCTCCCTGCCCAATATGTTGTGTTTAAGGGCAAGGATTATCTCCGCCCCTTTTGAAAATTTTCCTTCACAAATAGACATGTGGAAGGGGTAAATTGGGGGTATTAATTGGGGGTATTAATTGGGGGTATGATGACATGAATTCTGTCTATTATCAGTAGTTTTCTCAGTGATAATCTTTCAATAACAGATTAGAAACACAAGTTAAAAATAAATAAAACAATTATTATAGATAGATCTCTAGAATATTTGCACCGATTTATACAGTGTACACAGGTCAATAAACTAAAAAAATGTTTAGGTCATTCCTTATTTACATATTTAACTGGAAATCAGGGTTGACCAGCTCTATTTAGATCACCGCTAAACTTTCTTTTACTGAAGAATACAATTCAACTTACACCCATAACACAGCAAGATTCCTGTTAAACTACGTTGTTTTTATTGTTCAACTGAAGATGAAATAATAAGAATAGTTTTTATCTGATTACCATGGTAACTAAATGTCACTATTTGTTTATATATAATTTAACTTCCATTAGAAACAAAGGAATTTCCACCAAAATGCGGTATTTTGTTATTTTTGGCGGGAGAATTGGCCGTCTGCTGGTCTGCTGTCGGTGGTATGTTTCTGCCTACTATTTTGGCGGGAACCACCTGTCAGTTATTCTATTTCAATTCCTGTTCATTTGGGTTCAATTTTAACAAATGCCAGCCTTCATATCTTTTTTTAGACTTGCCAAAATGATTTTTTTTCGAAATTTTTAAACATGGGAGTTTTGCTGATGTTTCAATTTTGTAAAGGCCAGTTTGAAAATTTATTAAAATTTGGGTCATAAAACAATATCAAAACTGGTTTCCAAATAATGTGCACTTTATCATCCATTTTGATTGTGAGATTTTTTATAAACAGGTACTGATCTTTTAAAAGGCAAGTTGCTGAATACTGAATCATATTTGGTTGGTTTTTTTAAAACTTTAATGAACTTTGGTCTAGATTTTAAAAGAAAGCCTAGAAAAGTCGTAAAGTGGTCTGTGTTTTGGATTATATCACTAGATTATATTTATCACAGTAACCTGCTTCTGAAGTTCCCAGGTTTCTTTGACCATAAAGAATTTGATTTAAAATTGCTGCATGTTTTTTTCTTACTTATATTGATTACAGTATCCTTAGATAGGGTAGTCTTACTTCATCAGAATCTTTATGACCTTTATGACATTCTACAAAACAATGTCCTATTTCCACACTAAGGTTGTCATGATCTATTTCCACACTAAGGTTGTCATGATCTATTTCCACACTAAGGTTGGCATGGTCTATTTCCACACTAAGGTTGTCATGATCTATTTCCACCCTAAGGTTGTCATGATCTATTTCCACCCTAAGGTTGTCATGATCTATTTCCACACTAAGGTTGGCATGGATCTATTTCCACACTAAGGTTGGCATGATCTATTTCCACACTAAGGTTGTCATGATCTATTTCCCCCCTAAGGTTGTCATGATCTATTTCCACACTAAGGTTGGCATGGTCTATTTCCACACTAAGGTTGGCATGATCTATTTCCACACTAAGGTTGGCATGGTCTATTTCCACACTAAGGTTGTCATGATCTATTTCCACACTAAGGTTGGCATGGTCTATTTCCACACTAAGGTTGGCATGATCTATTTCCACCCTAAGGTTGTCATGATCTATTTCCACACTAAGGTTGGCATGGTCTATTTCCACACTAAGGTTGTCATGATCTATTTCCACCCTAAGGTTGTCATGATCTATTTCCACACTAAGGTTGTCATGATCTATTTCCACACTAAGGTTGTCATGATCTATTTCCACACTAAGGTTGGCATGATCTATTTCCACACTAAGGTTGTCATGATCTATTTCTACACTAAGGTTGGCATGGTCTATTTCCACACTAAGGTTGTCATGATCTATTTCCACACTAAGGTTGGCATGGTCTATTTCCACACTAAGGTTGGCATGGATCTATTTCCACACTAAGGTTGGCATGATCTATTTCCACCCTAAGGTTGTCATGATCTATTTCCACACTAAGGTTGTCATGATCTATTTCCACACTAAGGTTGTCATGATCTATTTCCACACTAAGGTTGGCATGGTCTATTTCCACACTAAGGTTGTCATGATCTATTTCCACACTAAGGTTGGCATGGTCTATTTCCACACTAAGGTTGGCATGATCTATTTCCACCCCAAGGTTGTCATGATCTATTTCCACACTAAGGTTGGCATGGTCTATTTCCACACTAAGGTTGGCATGATCTATTTCCACACTTAGGTTGTCATGATCTATTTCCACACTAAGGTTGTCATGGTCTATTTCCACACTAAGGTTGGCATGATCTATTTCCACACTTAGGTTGGCAGGATCTATTTCCACACTAAGGTTGGCATGGATTTGCTACCGTATCATGAGATAGGATAGTCTTGTTTTGATAATGACATGCCAGGTTTATGATTCTACAAAATTCTGCCCTTGTCACGCACTTAATGATAGGTTAGTGTTGGGTAATATGGATTTTACCAGCAGAAAAAAACTCCTGTGGAAACTTTCAAAAGTTGTGAATTAAATAGGGCACTGTAAGCCTTGTAATAAGCATGTTGGCCCTTAGTCTTGTTCCTGTTGGCAGAAAAAACAAGGATATGATTTGACCAAGCAATCTGCTAGCTAGTTGACGGATGGATCTGACCACAGAAAACTAGTCATAATGTTGGTAGTAGCCTATTATATAGTGTAAACCAGTGGTTCCCAACCTATTTCAGCCTTCCCACCCTGGAGCAATCACCTAGACCTTTCACACCCCCAAAAATTTGTTTCATCCACATTTCCAGCATGTGAAAAATAAATTCTTTCCATACACCAGTTGACCACACCCCTGACACCCTAGTCCACATCCCCAGGGGATGAAAACATCCCAGGTTGGGAACTGGGGGTGTAGACTATAAGTTCTATCCACTGTCATAGAATCATCAGATAGAAAGAGACTACAGAAGCCTGTCTCTGAGAATTGATGAGTTTTTCTCGGTGAAAAATTTCTTTAAAGTGAAAAATACACAGTTGTCATTGGGATAAATTGAACCAATTTTTGTACGTTCTTATCGAGGTGTCCGGGGAATCACCAGACTTTTTATTGATACTCAATTTACCATGAAATAGAGAAAAATAAATGGTAAAGATGCTAACTTCAAGCCAATATATATATCTTTCAAGAATTTCAGTTGTAACTTTGAATATAAAACTAGGTTAAAATTAGCCAAGGATATAAAAAAGGAACTAACATGTAAAATATTTGGGTATATTTTTGGATTAGAGGAAAATAAATTGTAAATATGGCGCGTAACTTGGATATAACTATTTTGAAAAAGAGACTTTCAATATCTCATTATTTTAGCCTCTCTAATACAGTCATTTTTCCTTATTTTTCAGCCCGTCGACCAACAGTACGTCATCACTATCGCGGCCAGAAGTTAGCCTTATGGTTAGATTTGATACCAAAAATAAACCAAGGTGACGGCTCGAACCCCAGTCAACACTTATTAAAAAACTCAGATAACAGATCCAGTTTTGACGATTATCCTCGACTAGTTCCGTCTTTAGATAATGTCTTCCCTTCTCCCCCAGCCATGCCCCCAATTGCCCCCATCCCCAGCAGTGTTCCAAATACAGGCGTATGGTCCACGCCCTCAATATTCTTAGAAGAGACGTCAGAGAACCCGGATCAACTTGACTCTACCCATATTGAAGAAACAGGAGGGAATTATGGTCCACTGTTGGATCGAGCTGATTCTGAATTATCTACAGTTTTAGTCGGACCTGTGAACAACGCTAATAACGAATCGAAAGAAACTTCCGTCCCTTTGAGTGTTGTCGTGGCGATTGGCTGCTCACTTCTGTTTCTGAATATTTTAATCTTCGCGGGTGTTTGTTATCAAAGGGAGAGAATTCGACGAATGAAACGAAGCCGCGCGCTCGACGAACCGGTTGACCCAGATGAAGTGAAATTATCGCGAAAAATTGAGAAAGAAAATCGAACTGCTTTAGAGGCTGCGTGTGTCGAGAGCGTTAGTCTCATGTCAAATCCGTCAGCCAATCAATCGCCAGTCAAAACAAATCATAGTCCGCAAATAAACTCAAAATCATCGTTACCAGGCAAACAACTTCCTGCATTAGGATATTCATACGCCGTAGTTCCTAATCAAACATCATCACCCATTCATCGTAACCAGGGACAACCGCATCATACAGGCAACTCAATACCTTTAAGTACTTTTAATCCCAACCCTGGTGACAGGGGGACAGGAAATACATTCGTTTCGTCTGGTAATCATAAACGAAACGAGCCGTTGACGAGAACAGAGAGAGACGGAACTACTTATCAAGTTATAAATAAAACAAATGACCCAGGTGGCTCGAATAACGCCATTACGATAGTCTAGCATTACGTCTGTATATAGTGTTCTTGTTATTTATTTTATAATGAAAATCAAGGGAAGTAACCCAGTGCTTTAAAGGGGAATAACTCTGTTGAAAGTTGTTAAGGGAGGTGACACAAGGCTGTCACAATCATCTTGGTGCCATTTCCAGGAAAAAATACTATTGGCTGCTACTGAAGGAAGATAATGATGATGCTTGTGTTTGAAAGGGAAATAACTGTGTTTGAAGGTAAATTTGCTTTGAAGAGGAATAATTCATTGGTGTAATTCTGGTGCTTGTATTACAGGGCAATAACTGTTAGAGATGATAAACATAGTCCTGAAGATTCTCAAGGAATGTAAGCAAGGTGCCTGTGGTTAAAGGGGAATAGCTGTGTTGAAAGTTTGTCAAGGGGGGGTAATCCTTATTAACTGTGTTGACTCTTCTCCATGGAAATAAGCCCGATACTTGTGGTTGGATGCAGAATAACTGATGTAAGTTTCTCAATTCTAAGGGGAGGTAATCTATATTCTTGCGGGAGGTTCTATGGTGTCTGTGTAAAACAGGACAATAATTGTTAATAGTCCTGAAAGGAATAACTGTGTTGTTTGGACTTTTCTCAACCAAGGGCAGTAATCTATGTGTCCCGAGTTCTAGAATCTTTGGGCATAAACAAAACATTTGTAAATATGTAAAATTCATTATGATTCTAGTTTGATTTCTTAGTCCAAAAAATATTAGAGATATGAAAAGCATCGAGAGTTGTCTTTCCCTGTTTTTGTCTGCAGGAAAGATAACTCTGTTCAGTGTATTGTAAATAATTGTAAATATTATAAACACAATGGTGTAAATTAGAGTAAAATTTTAGGATAATTTATATAAAAAATGGTGTGAATGTTTATTAGTTATAATTTATAATACAATCTAAATAAACAGTTAAATTATCTCCCTTTATTACAGTAATCTCCCTTAGTGGAGTTGCTTCCCTTTTCTGTATCACTTATCACCGTTGCGTTTTTATGAATTGTTAGTTTTAAGGAACTGGTTAGGTACCACAAAAATCTCGATTTGGGCTCAAAGACAACTTTTCCTATATAAAGTGATTTAAAATTTTGGAAAATTAGTCAGGGTCAGGCCAGCCTCAGTTCTGGGGGTAGGAATTGGCAATACCTTGTCCCCACCCTCATAAAAACGCACCATTATATACTCTTTCACAGTTGTTATAAAGATCTCTGGAATTTAATTAATTATATTCAGAGAAATTCCTAGTTATCTTTCGTTAAGAATGTTGTTTGTTTAAAGAGTTACCCACCTTTCTCTTCACGCACCTTTATAATGCACACTTTATTTCTTTATATATTATCTCCCTTTCTAGACCTCATTACCTCTATATTTTTAACCTACCTAGTTACAGGACAAGGGAAACATTTTCTAGTAGATGTAAAATATTCTCAAATTCTAATTAATGGGAAGCAACTCCAATTATATAAAATGAGAGATAGACCACAGAATTGTCAAATCCTATATCAATTTTATTAACAATTGATATTTTAGGGGGAGAGGCAAAGCTGGGCCAGTTTTACTTTTAGGGAGGGGATCAGCCACCCTTTAAAAAACACCACTGCACATATTTTAAAAAACACCAAGCACAAGTCACTTGTTTATATTGAACCAGTTGTTAAAACCATACTCTGTTACTGTTAGTACCTGTGAATTGATAACTGTTTGATAACAAACTAGTCAGGTAAGTTATATTGTGTATCATGATGAAGAGAGAAGATGGAGGAACTACCAGAGTAACCAGAAGATAGATGATTAACTATGTACAATGTAAGATAGTCATCAGAATTGATATTAGAAGATATTCTCAACAGAGATAATCAAGAAAGAAGAAGTTTAAACTTTGAAGATACAAACGGAAATCAGAAATTTGAACACAGGATATTTTAAAGGTAAGAAACATTCATTTATCTTATCAGCTGACCACAAACTCTCTGTCCCCCACCCATTCAATCTCATCCCCATCCCCCCTCTCCAAATCTTCTAACTTTAAAAGGCCAAGATGGATTCAAAGGCTGACAAACCCCGGTATATTCACTAGGTAAATTTCTCTTCTCTCATCTTTATCAATGAACTTTCATTTTGTTTAATGTTTAAGATTTGATATTGCCTTAATTATTTTATTTATAAGAAGCTGAATACATGAGTTCAGTAGATGGAGTTAAAATGTTAGAGAGATGTGGCCGTTAAAGACAAGAGAAGACAACTATGTTGAAGAATAAATAATATCAACATGACACTATGTAAGTATTAATTGAGAAGAGATTTTACCCTCATTTCATATTAACATTCTTCCTCTCCTCGTTAATTAAAAACATTAACTTAATGATGATAATATACATATATTGAGTGTGTCTCTTACATATGAACTGATATTTTCTGATCTGTGGTTTCACCGGAGGTTAACATGCCATCGTTATTACTGACAGTGTCACATGACCTATATCCATGCATGACGTCTACCTGAAACAAAGTCATTTGTTAGTCGTTCAATATAATTTAATTTAGATATTGCCTATAAACCATGGAGAGAAAGCGTCATTGCTCCTTTCCAAATTACAGATTTTGTCTAAGAAATACATGAAGAATAACTAAATGTGATACTAATTCTATATGGTGCTAAAAACATTACCTCGTGGAAAATGTCTGGTTCTAATTCCATCTAAAATTTCTGGCTAAAATAGAAAACATAAAAACATTTGTTAGAAAGAAAGAAACAACTATATTTTACTAGGATAACAAGTTAGATTCATAAGGGCCCTGTCTACCAGCTGGTCCTTGGCCAAACCTCTCTGCATTGTTCTTTCCTGGATTATCCGTACCCATTTACAGCTGGGTCAACTGGGATTATGAGTGAAGATGGCTTATTCAAAGTCATTGGACTATCACATGCCGAGATCAGAACCCACAGATGCCATTCACTCGACGTAACCAAGCCAATGGAAGTCATATTAAGAACCAATGATCCAACCAACTGTGTTATAAAACCTCACAAAGTTGTGTATTTCTTACCAGAGATTTACGTCGTCCTACAATACTAAGATCAGTATCAGTGGTTCGGAATCCAGACGCTCGTCTCCTAGCAACACCATTCCTTACATCTTCATTACATAAACAATGGAGAAAAAATATCAACATTCCCTGCAATACAATCAGGATTTTTTATCCAGTCTTCTCCAATATATCATTTGATTTGGAGGACCAGACTGTCTACTGAAGGTGCTTGCTTAATGGAGGGCCAGGTTGTATATGAAAATATTTCTTTTGCTCTTGATTCATAATTGAAATATTAAACCCAGTAGGAAATGGAGAGCAAAAACTCTATATTGAAGATCTCAAAACTGTTACCTGTAGAGAGTTCCCAATAACAAACATATATCGAAACCAAATTGACAACGGAACTAGTAGACTTAATATCCAGGTCATTCCTAGTAGAGGCAATAACATTACCATAGCTCGTAGACTAGCTCTACAAGACAGAAAGGGTTGAGGTCAACTGTTATTGTACAATAGATTTGAAAAGAGATCACCTCATTGGGAAGGGGGGTTTGCAGATTTTGGAGAGCACTGGTTGTGGTGGAGGGTCCAAGGCCCAAAAATTACCTGAATATGTCACTGAGTAACCAAAGTGATCAGACAAAGATAAAGGGAGATAACTATAATTCCTCACCTGACTCTAGCAGCCTCTGTTTTCTGTTTGTTTGTTTTCAAGGTCAAGAAAACTTTCAGAATCAAACCCAGAATAATCAGATTAAACTGAAAAGATAATATAAATGCTCATGACGCCCTTCCATGACGTAACTACCCCTGCTTGTGGGTTTTATTTGTTGTTCATTTAGAGCTGTAGAAATCACAACATTAGGGTGGTGAATACTATATGCTCATATCAAACCATATGACACTCGTCCCGAAAGCTTGTGGGTTCTTTTTATTGTTCTTAAGGAGCAGTGTTGTCAACTGAAAATGTATTGACCCCCCGCACGTTACAGGGATAATAATGTATTGGTCCCCGCAGGTTACAGGGATAATAATGTATTGGTCCCCACAGGGTACAGGGATAATAATGTATTGGTCCCCGCAGGTTACAGGGATAATAATGTATTGGTCCCCACAGGTTACAGGGATAATAATGTATTGGTCCCCGCAGGTTACAGGGATAATAATGTATTGGTCCCCGCAGGGTACAGGGATAATAATGTATTGGTCCCCGCAGGTTACAGGGATAATAATGTATTGGTCCCCGCGGGTTACAGGGATAATAATGTATTGGTCCCCGCAGGTTACAGGGATAATAATCTGATATACTTACAAAGACTATTAACAACATTGGTCCCATGAAAGCCCAAATCAAACCATGTTCCAAAGACAGCCAACAACTATAATAAAATAGTATACAGAGTTATATCCCTTAGACCTTAGATCACGACTTGCCCCTTTTATGAACATTTCTAGATTCCTGTCAAGGAAAGTGACATGTCTGTCCCTGAGGAAGAAGCCTTTGTGCTCTTGAAAAAGGTTGGACGTAAAGACCTAACAACACTGAAGCTTACCTATCACCAGGACCATTCCCATAGTTCTGGAATTCAGAGCCAAACGATATCAGCACAATCACTATGGGTAATCCCCAGCCTATTAATAGATAGCGTACTTTATTGTTGCTATAGTTACCAATACCACGTGTACATGTAACATAGAGAGATAATCCTTCCACCAACATCCACGTAAACGCAGACAGGAAGAAGAAATGTAACAAAATGGCCACCAGTTTACAAATTTCCTGAATAGAAAATATAAAAACATTAAAAGAGAGAGAACTTTTCTCAAGTTTGTGGAATATTATAGGATAGATTTTGCACTGTTTCCATCTTTGTACAGAGAGAAATGAAATAGAGTTTTGTGTCTTATTTTGTGATTTGCTCTCAAGTAGGTAAATGAAGACGTAGGCTACAGAGAGAAGAGAAATTATTACCCGATTCTCTTGGTATTCATTAGTAACAACAAACACAAGTTGTCCACAAAGTAACGAAATACATAAATTAGTATGAATAAATATTCTTTCTTTTCCTAAAATCCTGAAATTAAATAATATTGTAAATAATAAATGTATGTGGTCTGGATTAGTCTATTATTAATAAGAGTTACTTCCCTTCTTGTCAAGTAGAGTGGCTAGCCTGTGACAGTAGTAGGATTGCCTGTAATGTTATATTGTGGTCTGGATTAGTTCCTTCTTAACAAAAGTTACTTGCCATCTAGTGATACAGAGTTGCTGACCCTTCAATTGCTTTTGTAGTGCCACATTGTGGTCTGATTTACTTTTTTTCTTAACAAGAGTTATTTCCCTGAGAGAAAAAGCCTGTCCATTGAATTTGTTACAAACAAAATTGATGTTTGAAAAACTTCCTTACCGTAGATAAAAGTAGACAAAAATTGTCATGGATAATCCTAAAATGGAGAAGCTGCACCCAACAGAAGATACTATATGTAGAACTTTATCATTTAAGTTTGAAACCTGAAACAGAGAATTCACCATTTATATGTCCAGTTGTTATTGTTCATAAAACAGATGACACAGTCAGGTTTTGTATAGATTATCGCTAGGATTTCATAATCCTGCATATTCCATTCATTTATTTTTATTAACTACTAACCTACTGGTATTTGACTTTAGACATTCCTACTGGGTTCGGTAAACCCTCTATAGGGTCAGTTATACAGTAGGCTTCATGACTTACTGGTATTTCTTCATCGTAGTAGAGAACTAAAACAGCGAAACTAGTCAGGTGATCACAACTACACGTCGTATGAGTCTCATTCTGAGAAACAAGATGGCAGCCTTTGTTTGACCACATCTTCTTAACAACATTCCAATAACTACAAATTCTTTTAGACTTGGATTCAGTTCTGTTCTGAAAAAAGGATAAAATGTATGATGTAAAGCATTCCTTGCAGAGAGTTCACAAGGCTTTTGTTCCAGAGTTGTGTTATTTGACGTTTTCTGTTGTGACGATCTTTTTGTGGAATTGCAGGAACCACTTTCGTCTGACTGGAATGGACTGGAGCATTTCCATGCTATCAGTGTCCCTGATACACATAAAAAGTTACAAAACCTCCTTACAATTCTTTAAGAATAATATTTTATAGATTCAACCTCATTACCTCTCCTCCAAAATATTTCAAAGTAAAATTCACGGCGTTTGATTGGTTGACTGTCTGTCTACTCGTCTTATTGTCTGTCACTGATTGGACAGTTACTGATATCACATGACTACTGAAGTCTGTATGGCCACCATCTTGATATGTACTGGGTATTTTGGTGTCAAGGTCATTATACAAGACAATGGAAACTTTTCCTGAAATTAAAAATCAAGCGTCAAGTCTTAGGAGGGGAAATAAACCATGGCCGCATGTGCAGCAGGCTTTGCATGTTTAAGATCCCTGGACAGTTGAAAATCGAAAAAAGAGCAGGCTAATGCTGCTGTTCTGGCAAAACTTTTCTCATTGCACACTGCATGGTGTTGCCTGTCTTTATTAACCCAATAAGCTACAGAAGAGTAGGACATAAACAAGACATTCAAAGAGCTTGAACCATACGGTTGCCTTGCCCCATTTGACCCCTAACAATTCTACTTGTAGCCTACATTAGTTTCAATATTAATGAGTAAGAGAGATTGCTCTACCTGTATCTTCAAAAATATTAAAATTCAAAAAAATTTCTTGAAGATCAAAGAATCCAAACTTTATTTCGACTGGTTGGCTTGTATTGTCTATTGTCTTGACTTTTATATCTGAGAAAAAAAACATTCATGTTACAATGATAACAACTTAAGTTCATGAGGATCCTATCTATCAGCTGATCCTTGACCAAAACCTCTTGGTAATGATTTTACAAGTAGAATAGGTTCAAGGGTCCTTTCAAAGCTGTTATTGACTTAGCAATGATTCTCTCAAATTCTATCTATCAACTCTTTCTTGGTCAAACCACAAGGATCCAGTCTACCAGCTAATTGGTATTTGATTTTTACCAGACGTTAAAGGGTCTTTCATGGATTCCAATATACTAGTTACATACCGAATCCCTCCAGGATTTGATCCATTTCATCAACAATGGCAGCACATACCATGTTCTCCATAGCAACCAATATATCTGAACTTTGACCTGGTCTTCTGGACCAATCAGTTGATGGCATGGTGAGAACATGTGACATGCTTTGTGCATACAGCTGAAATAAAATGATGTGATGCGCTGGTTTCGTTCCAATTATGATAACAAGGCCCTGTGTGCTTACTTGCTGATGCCTCAGAAGTTGAAAAATGAAAAGATACCACTGTCCTGGCAAAAATTTCTTTCAGTGCACACTGCATGGCATTGCTTGTCCTCATTAGCCTGTGGTGATAGATTCAGTAATAGATTTTCACAGATTTTGGAAGAATCCAAAAAACTGAAGGCCTACCACAAAGTCATCTTCTGAAACAGCTGGGACGTCTGCTAACTTGATTAATGCTCTGAGAGCAATGTCAGTTGATACACTCTTGTTGCTATTGACGACTGCTTCATGGACACCAGTGATGTAATCAGTTACCTCCCCTGGTGAAGCATCCTGGAGATTCTCTTTGTCTAAAATCTCCACCAGTATATCTTTAGATGCTGGCACTGTAGTCTGAAAGGCCAGATTTGATACATGTATTGGTGGCTGTTCAAATCTCCTGTAGGTTAATCACACATACTTGTTTTCAAATTTGAAAGAGAATTTCTACAGGGTTAGGCTGTCCTCAAAAGTATCATGGATACTTACCAAAAAAATAGTACTGGTGTGTGGCGGCCCTGTTGTCAAGGATGTATTAGTTTTACTGATCACATGACCTATGACACTTTTAAAATCCAAACATTGTTTCGCCCCTACTACCACACATTCTGTAAAAAAGACGAGAAAGCTTTTTAAAGAAATTTTCTAAGGGCTCGTTCCAAATATAAATTTAGTAAACTTTGTATGTGAATATCAAGCTCAATTCCAAACTGATAAGTCCTGTTGCCAGCTTGCAATTTTTTTATTAATTTGCCTGAACGCTAAATTCTTAACAGAAATCTGGAGACTGGTCTGATTAAGCTAATTAAAACTAATCTTACTGTATTGACAAAGATATGAAGTTTTTAAACTACAATCTACAGCTGTTAATGAACTTCCTGTTACTGACACACATTCAACACCATCTTTATCATAACCAAGTATGTCAGTTGTTGGCGGGAAAAATCTCTCATTTGTTGTCTGTCCTGTGCCATTGATCCAGAAGTATTTGTATTCCACCATTCTTGCTGCGTTCGGTTCTCGTTTAACTCCAACAAGTAATTTTTTAGTGGAGGCTGCCATGAAACAAACAGAAATTTGTTGTTTCTTCAGATCAAGGATATTGAGGCTTGGTGTAGACTGCAACACTAAAACGAAGGGTAACCTCAAGTTCCTTGACACTTGAATCAAGTCAGCTTAGTGGAAAGCAACTTAAGAACCATGGATGCAGTAGAGGAAGGCAGGATAACTAGAGCCATGGCAGCACAGGGGTGGAGTTTGAGGTCTCAGGGGGGCAGCGACACTAGAACCCTTGGGTATTGGTTATTTTGCAGGGGTGAGGGAGAAAACTGCAAATATTGTAGAGGGAGGGGGTTACTCACCAATATTAAGATAGCCTCGAACCGTATCTAATTCTTGAAAAGATTGGAATTGAAACAGTTTCCCGCTATAATCTCCACATTCTTTTAAAGAATCAGCCAGATTATTGGGATTTGAACCCGACCACACACAATAATCATTATATTTTACTCCGGAGGGTTTACATGGTTCTAATATTTCTGGAACTGAAACATGAAATTAGAGTCTTGAATTACCTGGTAAAATTTCCCTCATTGCACACTGCTGGTTTACATTAGCTCAATCTGGATCAGTAAAGCATGATGAAGAGATCTAATTTCACCCCATGTATTGAATAATCATTCTTGTAAGTCCTCATAGACCCAAACTCTTCAACCACCTTGCCAATATTCTAATTGGACTGATTTAAAGTCAGTTTCAGTGATTGACCAATCAGAACGTTGGTACACTAAAATCAGCATAAGGCCCCAGAACCCTTTTCAATTGAAATGAATTCAACTAACCTTCAGCATTGGCAATAGATGTCATAATCAATAACAGCAACACAGCCATTTCAAAATATATTTTCATGTTACCACAGAATTCTCTAAACTTTGTCATTGTTCAGAACTGAAATCACTAGACCTACACACTTCAGACTGATAATAACTTTACATTTAAAACATGAAGTTTCCTTAATAGACATCATCCTGTAACCATGGTATTATCTATATTTCAGTATTGTACAGCAGTAAACTAGAACAGATGATGTCTTGATGCTGTGAAGATGATTAAGATAAAAAATATAAGACCAATACATCATGATTTTAATGAAGTCTTCGTGATTTTCTCGTTCCAATGTCAACAAAGCCTTGTATTTCAAACGTTTGTTTTTGTCTCTTATCTTTGAGGTGACTGTTAGTACCAGCATCTGTCATCTTTATACGCCTTCTTAATAGTTTGAACAAATCAATATACCAAATAATCAATAGATATTATTAGCTATGTGGACTCTCTTAAACAGATGTCTAGTTGACAAACATAAATAACAAATAAACAATACTACTATGTGGACTCTCTGAAAGGTGTAGGACTTTAATAGCATTGAATGCTTTAATGTGATATATTTCATGGTAGCTTTAATGTGATT